CCGAAGTTTTCATTACGATGATCAAGAACGTACACGATCTAGGCCCTGGGCTAGGCTTAGCTTTCTGCCGTCACTCTGCTACGTATACTACAGTACTACCGCATAACAAAGAAAGCTACCCACGTGGTGCATTCTTAAATATTACACACATTATTTAATTGTATTAGACGATAACACGATATCATTGACTGAACGATTTAACCACCCTCGCATCGCAGTAATACTGAACTAGGCCTAGCTTAGGCCTCATGTTTTTGTGGAAAGCTAGATAGTCGTTATGTACCCGACAGTCGGCTGCCTTTATGTTTTCAGTTTGCATTCAAAGAGTACATTGATGCACAGCCAAATGTCGGGGATATAGTACCTTCACATGACTACTCATACGTATACAACAGAAAAAAACGTCGCATGGACATGGAGATCTAAATGAAAAAACTATGTATTTCAGCAAGTATTAAAACATTTTAGTTTTATTTTAGGCCTTCTTCAAAATACCTATGCCTACAGCAGTTGATTTTTTTTGCTGTAAAACCAAAATAGTTTCATCCATGCCGACTTTCCGGTCGGTTAGCGTGAGCTCTGACTGAACTCTGCAGAAACTTCACATCGATCTTCGCATCGCGATGTTAAAAAAAATGTCGGAAAACTTTTCTTTGACGCATGCGCATTTGCATAAATGTCTACACACACGCACACACTACACACAATAAAAAAAAACATAGGAAATAGCAAGAGTGATTACAATAGTTCTTATTGCATTACATGCATAGGAACTAATAATAATAACAATAATAATAATAATAATAGCTAGACTTACTATGTCTGTTTGTAAAACAGAATAGGGTTTTTACCTAGTTAAAACCTCTATAATATTCTGCTATAATATTCAAAAGGATGTAGGATGATGTCATAATTTCATATGCACATCGTTGATATGGTCTTTGCTTGGACAATGCTTGAAGAGCACGAAAGTTACCAAAATGCCCGTCAGAAAAACTTTGACACTCTGAATCTAGATCGTCACCAACATTTAAAAATTTCTTCCTTGTAAATTGGTTAAATTTTCCAAAAAGATTCATTCAGTTCAGTTGGTCAGTTTTTGGTATAATCTGGTCTAAGACGTTACCCTCAAATTTACACCCAAATCCTGACTAAAACCCAAATTATTATAGGAAGTTTCAATTAGATCCATTGATAATTTTTTGGATATATTTAGGTATGGGACGTTGGAACTTTAAATGACCCTCAAATTCACATCCAAAACTGGATGATCACGAAGATTTAATTATTTCTTCATTTTAACTTGGTTAAATTTTCCCGAAAGTTTTATTCAGATCTGTTTATAAATTTTTGAAATATCTGGTCTGGGAAGTTTTCATTTGAATGTAATCATTCCTTTATTGGACCAAGACAAACTATTATAGAAAGTTTCATTTCGACCCATTGATAAGGTTTGTAAGATATTTAGGTCTGGGACGTCAGAAATTTAAAAGACCCTCAAATTTACACATTAAATTGGATCGTCACCAAAAACACATTAATTTCTCTTTGTAACTTGTTTAAACTATTCTAAAAGTTTCATTCAGATCAGTTTACTCGTTTTTAAAATATCTTGTGTAGAGTATTTGCCCATAAACCTTTTTAATTGGCCCTCACGTCCACACCACACTCTAGATTGACACTAATATTAGGAGGCACATCCTTGATATATGGTCTATCCAAAGTATGGAAAAGATCCAAGCATGAAAAGTGACTAAAGTGCCGGGTGGAAAAACCAGTGCAAAAAGATAAGAAAAACGATGACGATGATGATGATGATGACGACGACGACGACGACGATGATGATGATGATGATAAAGATAGTGATGACAATGATGATGGCGATGTTGATGGTAATAATGAACTGTTGCGCAATAAAGACGGAACGCGCACGTGTCCCGTACCTGTTCACGTCAATGTCAATGGACAGGTGAGCGTTAATCACAATCTATGGACCTTTCCGGAAAGCCCCGCCCCTTGGAGACTGTTGCCAAGGTCCCACAAAAGGTAGTAGGTCGTTTTCGCCGCACGACGTTAACCTTAAATTTAACGTTAGTACCCAACATTCAACGCGATAACTCCGCCCCTTTTGTAAAAAAATCGATACACGCATGCGCAAATCTGTAACTAACGCACGTAAAATCCTGAAATTAACGTACTCCGCAACGCAAGATGAATAAATTATGACGTCATCAGTTAAGGTTAAGGTTAACGTGTAGGACAACACCTGTGCTTGTTAGACACGCATTCATTCATTGCTCTCTTAAGTTAAATTTACACTCCGGAAAGGTTACACCAATTACCTACACTCAGTTATTCAAGACTTAAGACCTTATTGTTCATTAAAATTGAATATAGGCTCAATAGGCGACAAGTTAATTTCTCATACAGTGGCGTAAATTATTGAGATGGGGTAGGGGTAATTTTTTTTGGGAAAGCGATGCAGAACTTGGGGGAACCAGCTAAAGATTAAGGAGGAGGGGAGTGAGGTAAACTTTAACTAATTGAGAATATTATGTTCGTGGTAGTAAGTGTTTAACGAAAAGGCACCTGACGGACCAACTATTTCCTTAGGATGTGTACCCCACCTTCCCCAGTGCCACTGCCACATATTTTCAACTGCTTGAATGCGGGCTCACGGAAATTATCATGTATACACCTGAGATTACCATCTCAATCTTAACACAAGGTTTGATTTACAATCTGGATAACTATTTAGTCGTTAGTCGTTGTTGATATATAGTCAATACAAATACTCAGTACGTGCTTACTCCGATATGAGTGACGCACGATTTCCGCATTAGTTTGATGAGCGGTTAACTGGTATACCTAGCTAATGTAATCAACTGCTCTGACATCCAAACATTCACTAATATCATCGATTACTACGGGCCTAAAATAAACTTTTTATTTGTTTGTATATCGTTTTCATGGTTACGGGGTGCCTAGAAATTGATTAAAAAGCATAGGCCTATTACCTATGCATTTTGCAAGTTGAAGATAATCAATAACTGGCGGAATCATAATCAATTTACGTGCCGTATAATGACGTGCAACTCAAATAAAACCAATGTGTCCTGACAATTATTTCATCGTACATTAGAACAATCTAGTGCGGCTTTTTAATACAGCGGCACGCGGCCGCGGTAGAGAAAGAACATAATGTAAACCTGTTATTATTTCCCTTATGCTACCCCATCAATGAGCGGATTTGAGAGGGGACACGATCCGAAGTCGAATTTACCCCAACATTATACATACTGGTAGGCCTGTAAAGTTCTGTTTCCATAAAATCGCAACACTACAGCTAGTGTTTCCACTGCAATCGTTGCACTGCGTACCCGTCCACTTCGCAATCGGGAAGGCTCTCCCATATTCGACCAATGATCAGCGTCACCGAAACCTATCGGCGAAAGCGTGTAGCGAATTTATGCGAACCAGGCTTAACGTGTTCGCTACTGTATAAAACATTCCAATCGTTTACCGTCTGATAGTTAATATATAGACATCCACTACTGATTTATCACACCCGTTGCCAATTGTTCCATTCAATTGTAACTCTTTCCGCAATAAATAGAATGTTAAGCTGTAAAGTGTCAAATCTATTTGTGAAGGTTTGTATTCATTTCATCAACGCTAAGTTATGTATTGAGATCTGTGTTAAAAAAACAAGATTAATTTGAAATTATTGATTAGAAAATTGTACTTGAAACGTCATAGTTAGGCTATGTACTGCAAATCTTTTTGTTTATCGGTTATTTATCATTAGATTTCTATTTGATATTTGAACTAATGAATTGTTCAATCCGGTGTTTTTTTAATTCAGTAGGCATTACACTGAAGAAGAGAGCAGCCGCTCCCGAAATATTCGTTATTTAATAATTGTTTATATATTCTGGAAAAACGTCAACCGCCTATGTTATTATTGCTTGTCTCCACCATTCTAATATATATATATACACATATATACATACATACATATACATACACCGGTATGTAGGTCTATTATACGATGCAATATTAGCGTTATATCAAAATCGTGACGTCATACAGATTCTACCGGACACTTGAATCACTGCAGTGCCTTCGTGGTGAAATGGTTACGACGTGCGCCATGTATGTGAAAGGTCCCGGGTTCGAGTTCCGTTGGAGGCTGAGATTTTTCTTTCTTTATCAGAGTCCTCTTCTGTTACGTTCCAATTTATATTATTCATTGCATTATTCCTCTTCCTGTTTCTGGGAATTTTCTATGCCTTTATATCATATTCATTG